AGCAGTATAGCTAACAGCAAGTCTGTATATCGTTCTTATTATTATGTTCATGATATACTTTAATCTCTGCATTCCTACTTAATTCTGTCTATAATAGAATGATTGCTGATTGAGTATCGAGGTTGGTAACAGTTGCTCTTAGAATATTATAAATGTAGTTATAATATAATAATTATATTATAGTAATATGAACCAACAGGAATTCTGTATATCGTTCTTATTATCTTCGTGAATCATACATAATAGTAATTAGATAATTTGCAGAAAGAATGAAATATAATATTACTTGTGTTTATTACATATTCGTAAATTCCATTTGAGAAAAATTTTCTTGATATGCAATAGCTCCTGGCAGACTTGAGAAATTGTTCGTTGCAGATAAACAGATATCTAAACCATACGTGAATGAATTTGACAAAGTTCCAAATTTTGTTCCAAATATCTTTGTGTAAATTGCATTTGAGACATTAATGTAAGGCATTAATGTCTCAAAGACAAACCTTAAGACAAACCTCGACAAGAAATGCATCATGAAACGTATCTTTAAATTACAAGTTACATAATAATGTACGTACAAGGTCGAACCTCTTCGAGGTTGATAAAATCATTCGACGCATTTTTGCACTACCGCGAACCGAGTTATTAATTGTTACTGTTATAATTAAAGTTGACAGATATCCAGAGGAGATCTGTTGCATCGATGGCATAAAGGAAAACAATTCTGCTTTACATTCTGCTTTACAGACAAATATTTAACCAAACAAATACTCTGCTGTATAATTTATGCTATTGATATGACGGATATGTTTCCTAACCTGAATAGTGATCAACTTTAACAATTTCGGTCCACGAAGTAAAGCGATACATTTTTATTTTGCCAGATTCATTCATTTCGTGCAAATGTAGAAGCAGAAAATCACTTACGTGTCCTCTATGCCATCGATGTGACAGTTTTCCTAACCTAATCATCAGCTACAGAAAACGGACACATGTGTGATGTGACCATGCACATTGCCAGCGCCATATTTGCCTCTAGCGCCGAAAAATCCAAAAGGACATTTCCCTCACCCCATAGCCCTGTCGATGACGACGACGACGTTTCTTAAATTAAAAGTTTCAAGTTCGGATTTTGCATCATTTTGCATCGCAATATCTCCGCTCATAGAGCACGTAGAGAAAAAACAAAAATATTTTCACTATATATTCCGAGCGGATGCAATCGATTGGGCACACTTAGGGTGAAATTAGATGGTGTGGAAAACGAGCGCAGAATAGAGAATGTGTCATAGAAGCAACCAATCAGCGCTCTTCGGAATAACGCAGAATAACGCTGATTGGTTGCTTTTAGGACGCATTCTCTATTCCGTAGTCGTTTTCCGCTCCGTGTGATTTCACCCTTAGAACTCAATCGGGACAGCCGTTATTGAGATCCCATAATCGTCGTCTAGAAATCTTGAGATTCGCGTAAAGTAGTCACGGCAGTGTCTCTGCGCTTGGCTTAGCTCCGAGACACTGCAGTGTCTCTAAATAATTTCACATTTCTTCTGCACTTCTTCCAATCTCTTCTTACTGTTTCCGCAACTCTTTTGCATCTTTACCGCATCTTTTCCGCACCACTTCTACATTTCTTTTACATTTCTTCCGCATTTGTTCTGCACTTTTTCGCATCGTTTCTGCATATCTTTCCTAATTCTTCTACATATCATCTGTCTGTATACATTATTTTATTTATTTACATATTTACTTATATATCTACATTATCTATTTACCTATCGATGTTATCTGTCTATCTTTCAATGTTTCATCTATTCACCAGCTATTTATGTTTTATTATATTTTTATTTGGCTATTTATGATATTTATCACCTGTCTACTTTACCATATCTATCTATTTATCTATGTTATCTATTTACTTAACGGTAAAGAATTTTTTAAACATTAATATGTATAAATATATGTATAAATATATATGAACGTAATACGCGTAAATATTCATAATCATAAATAATTATACATGAAGTATGTATAAAACATCTTTCTTTTGTAAAATTACTTTTTAGTCAATTTTAGTGTACTAAAATTAATAATAATATTGAGAAAACATAAAAAATAGTTGATGGGACTATTTTCGCATTGTTTGTTTTAGAAAAAATCAAGTTTGGAAAAATGTAAAAAAATTTGCTCATACACACTGAGAGAAATGATTTTGTTATAGGAACAAATCAAGGGAAAGCAAATGTGATATTTGTTAAAAAAACAATCGATTTGTTACGATTGCAAATTAATTCGTCAATG